GCTACTTGATGTTCTTTTTTGTATTAGCCTTTCAATGCTCATCCTCTTCCCATCCCCACTATGGTAGCTTCTTTCTGTTTTCCTCATAATATCCATACTTATGCGAACTTATTTTAATATCATTATTTTAAACCTTTTAAAAAATGTTCCCTCAACCAGAAATTCACAATATAAGCATGCATAAAATGAAGATTCTTGAGTTGAAGAGAAGGGCCCGCTTCTCAGCCGCACTCCAGCAACATCTGAAGTGCTACTGTGCAACTCTTAAATAGCTCATCTGGAAACAAGCAGTTCATCTGAAAACAATTATTCACCCATCAACAAACAAATGGATAAAAAAAACTCCTATGGTACACTCACACAATGGAATATTTCACAACACTGAAAAACAATGAACTCATAAAACACTACACAACATGCACGAATTAGAGGACAGTATGCTGAGTGAAATATCTCAGTCACAAAAGGACAAATACTGCATAACACTGCTGTTATAAAACAAGACTGACAGGAGAGGTTGAGGGGAGAATAGTAAAAGAGTGGATAGATAATGAACACTGCTTTGGAACAAATGAGGGGAAGAGGTATCCGAAAGGAATCTATGATTAGGCAGTATACGTAACAATGTAGAAAAAGTGGTGCATTGCAAAGTGTACTGGGAAAGGAGGAAGGTTGGGGGAGGGAGGAAAATGTACACTGATAAAGGAATTAAAAGAAACAAAAAAATTTCAAGCCTAAGGACTTAAATCCAAGTAGGTCCAATACTTTATTTGAGCTTTGATTCAATGTTGCTTTGAAAAATCAAAAATCCAAAGGTCAGGTCACCATAACTTTTATGAAAATATACTGGGGAAAAAGATTGTTGCAATGGTTATGTCATAATCAAGAGTAATAGAAAGCAAAATAGTTTTTCATCCTCAAGTAATAGTTACTTTTGGGGATGTCAAAGTGTTATATAGAATTTTTGACAGGACATACTCCACTATGTCTTTAAGCAGTACAATGCTTAAGTATTCTGGGATTTCCATTCTTCTCAATGTTTGTCATAATTTGTTATGATCTATACAGTCAAATGCCTTTATATAGTCAGTAAAGCATAAATAGATATTCTTTTAGTATTTTTGGCTTTCAGCTAGGATCCACTTGACATAAGCAATAATATGATTCCACAGCTAAACTAATAGGTAATAAAAATGTGCAAAGACTAATGCAGGAAACCTCCAAAAACAGTAGGCAAATGACAAGAACAATAATGAGATCACATACTTATGTTCTATAGTGATAAAATGAAAATATAAAAATTAAAGTAAAATATCTATAAATGTTTAGGTACTATGTAAAAGTTTATGTGTGTGCGTATGTGTGTGTGTATATATATATCTCAAATGATAAGAAAATAAAAATGACTTTGAAATATAGAGATGACATGATAGGCATTAAAGCTTGAAACTAACTTGGTCCTCAAGCATGAGTACTTAAGCAAAACTGCATTGAGAAATGTCCTATGTGAGACAGTTACTGCCTTAAAAGAAATCTAAGAGGGGCAACATGAATCCAGTGCTAGGATTCTTGTATCACATTACTAATTTATGAATATGTTATCTTAGTTTCATGTGTCTTTATTTCCCTCTTTATTATCTTTTCCAATGGAAAGGTTTTGCTTCATTCCAAGATGTTCCCAACACAAAAAATGCACTACGAGTTCAGCTCTTGAACCTGTTGATTTCATTGGATCAAGCTCACCTTCACTCAGTCACCACCATCAAGTCAGCTCCAGCCTACTGCGATCCTCCACCCGTTCCCCAGGGCTAAATCTCAACAAGAAACTTCCCATCTTCCTTCTGCTGATGAATTCGAATCACTTGAGACACCTGGCCTTTGGGTTAGCAGCGCAACTCACTATCACCTATGCTACAAGTTGTTATGCACTGTCAAGTCATAACTGACTCATAGCTGACCCTCCAGTGGGTTTTTAGAGGCCGTAAATCACATAGGAGGAGACTGTCCAGCTTTCTCCTGACGAGCAGCTGATGGATTCAAGCTGAGTTCCTTTGGATGGATAGCACAAGTCCTTACCACTAAGCCACCAGAGCTCCCTTGAAAAGATTTGGCAAATCCATCTTAAATTGAACTCCGAATAGGAAAGGACTTTTGGAGTTAGAGAGGAAACATGGGTATCTGGATGACTTCATGCCAGGACATGAAAAGTGGGCTCAAAATATTTTTTGTATGTGTCATAGAAATGCATGCAAACCCTGCAATTGTAGTTTACTGGAGTATAAATGGGTGGATATAATTAACTTGTCTATTCTGGCAGGGTTTACAGTTGCAGGCAAAGACCATACACACACTAGCAGCAAGTGGGAAATGCTTTACTCACAAAGAGACAGAGTCAGACCAGCTTCTCTAGAGGCTCATCCTGTGTATGGCCAAGGCAGGGCAGATGTGCTGTAGTTCAAGTTATCTCTTTCTTTCCCCTTTGAGAACAGATATTGGAATAATATTGACCACACATCATATGGTACCCAAACACATGCAAGAGACAGGTAGTGACTTGTGGGCCCACAACAGGGAGAACGCCTTTACAATGAGGAGAAGGAACTGGGAGAAAGATAATCCAATTCCCAGCCTCCTTCTCAGTCAATGTTCTGAGCTCAAAGTCTTTACTTACACAGCCCTGATGACAGAAAATTGAGCCCCTCAAAAAAGCTTCCACGTAAAATATAGCACCCAACTACCAACTCCAACTCAACTTCCACTACTTTTCTTACCATGTGTGACATCTGTAATCCACCGTATTCACTGGTTTCCTGCTGCGTCTGTGATTTTGCCCTGAAATCTCTGCTTCCTGTCTTCTCCTGGGTCCCACCACTCCACTAATTGATCCTGAGATAATTCACTCCTCAAAATTACTATACTGTTTATCTTTTTATATTATCTATATCCCAGGTGGACAGTGTTTGGTGGAGCTACCCGATTAAAACAAGCTTGGAAGCAGTGGCATCCACTTCTGTAAATAGCTTGCCTCTGGAAACCCTATGAACCTGGAGAAAGGATGAAAGTCAAGCAAGTGTCAAGGACTTTCATTCATAGGGTCACTATGAGTCACCTACAGCTCAACATCTCTTAACAACATAGAGAGAGATCCGTTGGCCTAGTAGACCGACAGTGATGCTACCAAGCCAAAGGTGGGTTATTCTAATCTGCAGCCCTCAGGCCTGTTTTTCATTGTTTTTGGTCAAACATTCTTCTAGGTCGTATAGCCCTGGTGTGTCTACTGCTGTACAGAGGTAACTTGTGGTTGCTGTGAAGCTGAACACTGAGACACTGTGTCAAATGCAATAATGGTTACCCATGGTGGACAGCGATTGGTGGAGCTCTCCGATTAAAACAAACTTGGAAGCTGGAGTGGCATCCACTTCCATAAATAGCTTGCCTCTGGAAACCCTATGAACCTCGAAAGAGAGGACGAATGTCACACAAATGTCGAGGACTTTTGTTCATAGGGTTGCTATGAGTTGCCTACGATTTGATGGCCCCTAACAACAACAACATATCCCTGATATAAACATTCCTCTGTCATCTGACCTCTCCTTCACTTTAACTTGTGTGTTTTTGAGCTGTACGTATTTCCATGAATTTCCAGATCCATTTTATTTCTGTGAATCAGTCTTACACACTACTCTTATCCAATACTCCTCTCTTTCCAATATGACCAACATAACTTCCTCTGAAATAAAAAAAAAATAATTCACTGTGCACTACCTAGGTCACATTCAACGTGCATTTTCCTCAGAGCCGAATAGGTCAAAGACTATGCCAAGTAAGATACAACACATTATGTTATTATTGGTGAGTGCCGTTGAATCAGAACCGACCCATAGCTGCCCCTCCAGTGGGTTTTCAGAGACAGTGAGTCACGGAGGAGACGACCCATTTTTCTCCCACAGTGCAGCTGGTGGATTTGAACCACATAACTTTGAGTTGGCAGTGCAATTCCTTAACACTAAGCTATCAGAGCTCCCTAGCAGCAAAGAAGTTCTTGTTTTCCCAAAATAGACTTAGCAACATATTAAGTAGATAATCTGATTTTGGAGGGAAAGCAGTCATTTGGCTTTGGCTTATATTTGCATAAAGAGCTTTCTTTGTTTAAGTGACAGAAACCTAAATTTAACTCCAAATAAGAAATCCACAGTAGTGCTCACTTTGGCAGCACATATACTAAAATTGGAACGATGCAGAGAAGATTAGCATGGCCCCTATACAAGGATGACACACAAATTCATGGAGTGTTCCATGTATTTTTGCCTGCTTCGTGTTCCAGGAGAATGTACAAGTGAAAATTCTTTGCTGACACAACATTATGTGCACAGCCCACAAAATTGCTCATGGAAGACAGTGACATTTGTTTGGTGACCTTTATGAGAGCTTCATTACCCAGAGTGGAAATAGGGTTCCATAGAATTGCTAATTCTTTTATATCCTGGGTTTGTGTTGTTTTTTTTAATGTTATATGTAACCTCGAAGATTTAAGTCTTCTCTTGTGATCATTGCACAAGAAGAAATTACATTTTAATCAAAGAAATAAAATTGAATCTACTGGGGGGAAAAAAAGAAATCCACACTAAAAAGTGGTTAATGATCACAAGTGTTTCTGATAGTAAGATAGTAAACATTTATTGAGACATAACTTTAGTACATATAATTTATTGTATGGGTCAAGCCATGTACAACAGTCATAGATTAGGAATCTCTTACTGTCAAGTAGTGTAGATATTTGGCATTTAAGTGAATGCTAAGGCAATAGACATAGAACGTAGAGATTTTGTGTGGCATTTAGTTTAAACAGTTTCTTTTTACATTACTTATTGACAACATGGCTAAGGGGATGAATAAACATTTAGAATAAAGTCACATGCTGAGAAGACGAGATTAATAAGACGGATCAATTTGCACCATATCATATCGATTGACAGAGGGCAGGTGCTCATGAAAGAAACTCAGCAGGAAGACCCACAGCAGCTTGGACGACAGCAGCTAGGATGGCAGCAGCTGGACATGCAGCAGGAGGGTCTACAGCAGCTGGAACCACAGCAGCTGTGTCTGCAGCAAGAGGGGCGGCAGCAGCTGGACACACAGGAGCTGGGGCGGCAACAAGTGGGCTGACAGCACACAGACTGACAGCACTGGGGCCTGCAGCAGCTGGACACACAGCAGCTGGGGCGGCAGCAGCTGGACACAGAGCAGGAGGGGTGGCAGCAGCTAGTGACACAGCAGCTGGGGCGGCAGGAAGTGGGCTGGCAGCACACAGACTGGCAGCACTGGGGCCTGCAGCAACTGGACACACAACAGCTGGGGCGGCAGCAGCTGGACACACAGCAGCTGGGGCGGGAACAGCTGGACTGGCAGCACTGGGGCCTGCAGCAGCTGGGGCGGCAGCAGCTGGACTGGCAGCAGCTGGGGCGGCAGCAGCTGGACTGGCAGCAGCTGGGGCGGCAGCAGCTGGACTGGCAGCACTGGGGCCTGCAGCAGCTGGACACACAGCAGCTGGGGCGGCAGCAGGTACTCCTGCAGCAGGAGGTCTGGCAGCAGCTGGGGCTGCAGCAGGTCTCCTGGCCTTGACCACAGCTGTGATCAGAGCAGACAGAGCCACAACAGGAGTTGATCATGGTGTCAAAGGGTGGAGGTTCTTGTATTTTCAGAAATATGAAGTTCTCAAGTTTGAGAGTCTCCATATCCTAGACCCCCTTTTATACTTTCTTGATGGAACTTCTTCCTTGTTATTGTTTATCCTGATAGAAAGGCATTTAGCAAATTAAATAATTACAGGCATTTTGTAATTGCAAAAGTTAGATGAGATGAATCTTTGCTTTTTGTAATGTGTACTAACTCTAACCTTCCTTCCAAATCAGCTCTTCTGTTTTTCTTCCTTGTGTGTATCACCTCTTTTTCGAGAAGGTGGTTCCCTCCTCCAATTGGCTATCATGTTCTAACAATTTGTCACTGGATAGTCAGATGTTCTTTAGTCATGATTCAACACACAGCAGTTGGGATAACTACAGAAAGGCAATGGAAATAAAATTATTCCTATTTCAGAATTATGAAACAAGGGCTGGGGAAAGAAAGTCCGCCACTGAAAAGAAGAGGATGACTGTGAATGTAAGTGGGAAATCAGTTAGCTGAAGAAAGGCAGATACCAAGCACACAGAGACAGAGACACATCTCCCTGCGTCCTGGGTAGCTAATGTGGCTCAGGGCAGCAGCCCTGCTCATTCAACTGCAAGGTCACTTGGGCTTAACCACAAAAGCTGAACCAGAAACCTACCAGTAAAGCTAATGCATTTTTAAGTAGGTAGGAAAGAATAAAGCTTAATGAGAAAATCACAGGGGGAAGAAATCACAGTATCTGGTGGAGCTGGTGTGATCAGACAACTAACCTTTGACCTGAACGAGCCTGGCTGCATAGATGTGTCCTGTCTTGTTTGTTACTTGCCATCCTGGAGTCTTTTCTCATTGACAGTGGTAATGGACGCAACTGCTTCTCTTCCATCCAGCTGAAGAATGTCAACTGATAACACTTTCAAGACGTGAATGCAATGACTATTTGGAAGTGAAAAAGAAGACTTTTGGAAATGCAAAACATACTTCAAAATGTCATCGTTTAAAGCAACAGAAGTAAAATTGTGCTTTATTCTAATAAAAACTATCTTAATTAAACTATCTGTTTCATAACAGAAGATTGCAGAAAATCTACTTGCTCAAGTGGAATCTGTACATAGATTAAGTAGCAGTCTTTCCAACAGAACAAGTGGGCATGGAATGGTTTAAAATCAGGAAAGGAGTTAATCTGGACTATATTCTCTCATTGTATTTATTCAATCTGATGCAGAGCAAATAACCTGAGAAACTGAACTGTATGAAGATGAATGTGACATCAGGATTGGCAGAAAATTCAACACCATATGACATGCAGATGTACAACTCTGCTTACATAAAGTGAGGACTTGAAAATTAAAGACAATAACCTCTAGTATAGATTCATCTCAACATAAAAAAGCAAGAATCCTCACTATTGGAGAAGTAAAAGACATCATGAAAAATGCAGAAAAGATTAATTCTGTCAAAATGATTTCATTTTACTTAGATCTACAATCAACACCCATGTGAATAGCTATCGAGAACTCAAAACTATTGTACTGGAAAAATCTATTGTCAAGTACTTCTTTAAATATGCTGAACACTGTGCAGGTTAAGGTGTACCTGACCCAAGGAACAGTATTTTCAGTTGTCTCATGTGCATGTTGGACAAAGAATAAGAAAGATAAAAGAAGAATTGATGTCTTTGAATTGGGATGTTGAAGAATATTGACTATATCCTGGACTCCCAAAAACATAGGCAATCTGTGGTCAGAAAAGGTGCACTCAGAATGCCCTTTGCAGGCAAGGATCACAAGCCTTTTTCTTATATATTTTGAACTTGTTAGAAGTGGCAAGTCCCTGAAGAAGGACATCTTTCTTGTAAGATAACAGAGTTTAATGGGTGGGTTGAAGGGAAGGGGAGGGGCGTGGGAGAGATTTAATGGGGACCTGAAAAAATAGTATAATAATAGGCATAGACTAAAGAAAATTGATTATATAGAATATAGTAAGTATATATATACACACATACATACATGCATTGTATGAAAAACAATGTAAATGAGGGATTGTATGGAACACAATGAATGAAACACAATGTAAATAAATTATTATATGAAAGCAAATAAAAAATAAAGTAGAAAATCAGTGATAAATGGAATAGATTGATACAGTGACTGCAACACAAATCCAAGCAAGTACTGTGATAGGATGAATGACTAATTCTAAACTAGTACATTATTGTTGTTGTTGTTGTTATGGGCTGTAGAGTTGCCTGCAACCCATAGTGACCCTATGTACAGCAGCTCTGAATCCTGCCCTGTCCTGAGCCAGTCTCACTAATTCTGACACACCAACTCCGTTGTCACAGTCAGTGTATCCACTCTTCCAAGCATGATAGTCTTCTCTCCTGGTCATGTGCCCAAAGTATGTGAGACAGAGCTTCAAAGTCTTAGCCTCCAAGGAGAAATTTGGTTTCACCCTCTCCAAGACAAACCTTTGTTTTCTTGGCAGTCCATGGTGTGTTCAAGACTCTTCTCTGGCACTACAATTAGAAGGCATGGATTTCTGTCATCCTTAATCATTATCCATCTCTCTGATGCGTAGCAAGTAATTGTGAAGACCATGGCCTGGATCAGGCACACTTTAGTCTCTAAATTGACATCTTTGCTTTTAAGCACTCTGGAGAGGTCTCTGACAGCAGATTTTCCCAGTGAAATTTGTCTTTTGATTTCCAGACAGCTGCTGTTAAGAGTAAAAAAAAATTTTTAAAAAAATTATCACCTCATAAACTCAATGGGGGAACCCCAACAAATAAATAAAGAAAACATTAAGTTTAAAGTAGCGTGGCATTAGGATTGGTAGACAATCTATCAACAATCTGCGTTATGCAGACAACACAACTTTGCTCGCTGAAACTGAGGAGGACCTCATGCATTTACTGCAGAGGGTCAAGGACTGCAGCCTTCAGTATGGAATGAGGCTCAATGTCAAGAAGACAAAAAATTCTCACCACCGGACCAATCGGTAGCATCAGGATGGATGGCGAAGAGATTGAGAGTGTTCACAGCTTCAGTTTGCTCATGGAGGTCAACACTCTTGGCACTAGCAGCCAGGAAATAAAAAAATGTATTGCGATGGGAAAGTCTGCGATTAGGGACCTCTCTAAAGTACTCAAGAGCAACGGTGTCTCTCTGGAGACTAAGATGCACCTGATACAGGCCATGGTTTTTGCAATCACTTGTTATGCATCAGAGAATTGGACAATGACTAGGGAGGATAGAAGGAGAATTGACGCCTTTGAGCTGTGGTGCTGGAGAAGAGTATTGAATGTACCATGGACTGCCAAGAAAACAAACAGATTCATCGTAGAGAGGGTTAAACCAGGCTGCTCCTTGGAGGTAAGGATTCTGGGGCTTCGCCCGACATACTTTGAACATGTTGTAAGGAGAGACAGGTCTTTAGAGAGGGACATCATGCTGTGTAGAGTGGCGGGACAGCACAGGAGGGGAAGACCCTCTATGAGGTGGATTGATTCAGTGACTGGGGTAATCGGGATGGGTGTGTCAGAGGCAATGTGATTGGCACAGGATAGAGCATGGTTTAGGGCTGTTGTACATAGGGTCACTATGAGTCGCAAATGACTCGACAGCACATAACAACAACAACAACAACAACATAAACTTCATTAGAGAAAAGCTTGGAAGAACGCTAGAAACACTAATCCACATCATGAATAGTCTTTCAAACATCCTGGAAAATCTATAGCCAGAAGAAGATAAAATAAATTAATGGGACATTCTAAGAATAAAATCCCTATGCACATCCAAAAACTTCTCCAACAGAGTAAAAGGGAAGCCACAGACTGAGAAAAAAATGTCTGGTAATGACATGTCTGATAAGAGACTTATATCTAGCATTTATAGAATACTCAAGTGCCACAACAAAATAAACAACCCAGTTGAAAAATGGGCACAGGATATGAACAGACACTTCACCAAAAAAGACATTCAGATGGCCAACAAGTACACGAAGAAATGTTCAAAATCCCTAGCTCTAAGAGAGATGCAAATCAAAACAACTATGAGATATCATCTCACCCCAATAAGAACAGCAACATTTAACAGAACAGCAAACAACAAATGCTGGTGAGGTTGTGGAGAAACTGGAACCCTTATTCACTGTTGGTGGGAGTATAAAATGGTACAACCACTATGGAAGGCAGTATGGCGCTTTCTCAAAACGTTGCAAATAAAAATACCATTTGACCCAGCAACACCACTACTGGGAATATACCCTTAAGAAACCAGAACTGTGCTCGCTTTGGCAGCACATATACTAAAATTGGAATGATGCAGAGAAGATTAGCATGGCCCCTGTGCAAAGATGACACACAAATTCATGAAGCGTTTCATATTTTAAAAAAAAAGAAACCAGAACTGCCACCCAAGCAGATATATGCACACTTATTTTTATTGTTGCAATGTTCACAATAGCAAAGATTGGAAATAACTCAAGTGCCCAGTAACAAATGAATGGATGGAGAAGCTGTAGTATACTCACCCACTGGAATACTATGCAGCACTGAAAAACAAGGAACTCATGAAATATTATACAAAATGGGTGACCATGGAGGATTTTATGCTGAGTGAAATATCTCAGTCACAAAAAGACAAATCCTGCATAATGTCACTGTTATAAAACAGGACTGACATAGATGTTGGGGGGGGGACTAAGAAAAGAGGGGATAAATAATATACACGGCATTGAAACAGATGAGGGAGAGAACTGTATAAAAGAAATACATGATTAGGTATTATTGGCACGACAAGAGTTCAGAATAAGAATGGCATAGTAAAGTGGTCTGGGGAGGGTGGGAGAACTGTATAACAATGATAGAACTTTTTTCCCAAAGAAAAAAGCGAAGTGGGAGTGGGCAGGGGGGGGAAATGTGCAACAATGAATGAATGGAAACCCAAGTTCTTTATAAAATTTCATTAAAATCTCAATTAAAAAAGGATAGTATGAAACACAATGTATGCAAACTTTGTAAGCAAACCAATATAAAATAAGGTTTTTTAAAGTTAAAATAATAAGAGGATAGTGTGAAACACAATGTATATGAATTTTGTAAGCAAACCAATATAAAATAAGGTTTTTTAAAGTTAAAATAATAAGAGGATAGTGTGAAACACAATGTATATGAATTTTGTAAGCAAACCAATATAAAGTAAAAAAAAAAATTTAAGTTAAAAAAAAAAAAGATCTGAAGCCTTTTTGTAACAATCATCATTTATCCAAGCTCATAGAGTTTCCAGAGGCATGTTGTTTAGGAAGTGGATAGTATTTTCTTGTAATAACTAGTGACACAGAGATTAAAATATTTGTCAGGCAAATAAAAATTCCACACCTACTAGCCTCTCTAGTGGGCTAGTGGTAAGAATCTGCACTGCAATCCCAAAGGTACACAGTTAGAATCCCCCAGCTGCCCCACGGGAGAAGGATGGGTAATCTCCTCATGTGCAATTATTGCCTCTGAAAACCCACTGGAGGGTCAGCTACGAGTCGGTTCTGACTCAATGGTACACAACAAGAAACACCACCGCCCCTACATGAAAGAAAAATATGGCAGTCTGCTTCCATAAAGAACTTTAACTTTGGGAGCTCTGGTGGCCTAATGGGTAAAGAACTGTGCTGCCAACCCAGGAACAGGTAGTTTGACCCCCCAGCTGCTCTGCAGGAGCAACATGAATAAACTCCTTCTGCGGGATTTGCAGCCTCCGAAAACTCACAGAAGGACAGTTAGAGTCAGTTATGACTCAACGGCTCATAATAAAAACAAACACAGGGAGCGGTTCTACTTTGTCCTATAGTCACTATGAGTCAGAGGAGGGCAGCTAGGTTAGGCTTGGTTTTAGTGCGACCTTGATCCTTCTTTAATTGCTGTATTCTATGGGCTTGTTTATGTTGCTGCTTCTGCTTCTCATGCGGAAATGACTTCAGACAAAAGAAATGCAGCAATGTGACTGAAAGAGCTATTTGTTTTGCTTAAATTATTATAGTCAAGTCTACTTAAGTTACAGGAGACCTGCAGGATCTAAAAAAATATCTTTTTTTTCTTTAGAAAAAAAATTAAAACTAAAATGATCCTAAGAGTGTAGTTTTGGAGCACAGTTTTCAAACACAACCTAAATTCCCTCTTCTTACAAACTCATCCTTGCTGATAGTTTAAATCCTTTCTTTCCTCCCTGAATCTTCCCCAAAGGCAAAGCTTACTTTTCCACATGTGACTCCACCTCTGCCTGATATGTTTCTCAGTTGTTTAAGACATTTTTTTGAATGATGTTGTTATTAGATGCCATCGAGTTGATTCCAACTCCTAGCAACTCGATGCAAAGTAGAACGAAGCACTGCCCAGTCCCACTCTGTTCTCGTAGCTCTGGTGTGCTTGAGTTCACTGCAGCAGCCACTGTGGAAATCCATTACACTGATAGTCTTTCCCTTTTTCATTGATCCTCTATTTGCCAAGCATGATGACCTTTTCCAGGGACTGGACGTTCCTATCCCTGGACCCTCCTGATAACTTTTCCATAGTATATGAAGCAAAGTCTCACCATCCTCTCCTCCAAGAAGCAATGTGGCTGAACTCCTTCTAAGGAAGATTTACTTTTGGGAGATTCATAGAATTCTCAGTTTTCTTCATTAACACCATAATTCAAAGGCAATACTTTTTCTGACTTTATTTATTGTTCAACTATATGCATATGTTGTTGTTGTTGTGTACCATGGAGTAAAAATCAACCCATAGCTGATCCTCTGGTAAGTTTTCAGAGGCAGTTAATCGCATGGGAGGGGATTGTCCATCCTTCTCTCCCACAGCAGCTGGTGGACTTGAACCGCATGCCTTCAGGATTGCAGTGCAGCTTCTTACCACTGGGCTAACAATAATAAATACCATGGCTTGGATCAGGCACACCTGAGCCCCCAAAGTGACTTTAAGAGCAATTGCTCTTTAAATTTTTAAAGAGATCTCTTGCAGCAAATTTTCCCAATTTAGTCAGTTGAGTCCTTGAGTGCTACTTCCATAAATGTTGATTGTGGATTCAGTAAAATTATATCCTTGGCAATTCCAATATTTCCTTGATTTATTATGCTATTTGCAGCTGTGTTTTCTCATAATGAGTCATGCCACATCATCAAATGAAGGTTTTGAAATCTTTACTCCATTCATGTTGTTAAAGAAGTCTCTAGTTTGAAAAGACAGCTCATTACCAGTCCTATTTTTAGCACTTTCAACATGAAGAGGTTTCACCTTCCAGCTCTATGTTGTTGTTATTATATGCCATCGAGTTGCCTGTGACTTATAACAACCCTATGTACAATAGCTCTGAACTCTGCTGTATCCTGAGCCAGTCTCACTGACTCTGACACAGCTAACCCCTTTGCCCCAGTTACCATGTTAATCCATCTCATCCATCCGGAGTCTTCCTCTCCTGAGCTGTCCCTCCAACCTTACAGCATAATGGCCTTCCCCAAGGACTTGTCCCTTCTGGCCATGTGCCTAAAGAATGTGAAATAGAGCTTCAAAATCCTTGCCTCCAAGATGAAACTTGGTTTCACCATCTGTAAGACAGATCTGTTTGTTCTCCTGGTGATCCACAGTGTGTGTGTTCAATACTCTTCTCCAGCACCACAACTCCAGCAATATAGCAGATGGTGTTCTGCTGCCATTTCGAAGGTCTCCACTGACCAATCATGTCACAGGTGAGTCACCAGTCCTGCTTCCCATCTGTCATAATCTGGAAGCTCTCCTGAAATCTGCCCATGATGGGTGATTCTACCAGTAATTTAAATACTTGTGGCATCTTTTCTGGCATCATAACAACATACAAGCAATCAGTGTATGACAAATTGACAGGTGAGTAGTAGAAGCTTACTATATCATTAAAATACCAACAGCTGTTTTTCAGTTTGTTGGACTGTGGTACCTTGTATGTTGCTGTCATGCTAGAATCTGTGTCACCCAGTATTTCAAACACCAGCAAGGTCATCAAGAGTGAACAGGTTTCAGGAGAACTTCCAGAGAAGCTAGGGAAAAAGACTTCATCTATATTTTTTTTAATTAGTCAGGTAAAGCCCTATGAATGTCTCTTTTTCAGTTTTTGGTGGTTTTATTTTGAAAATGTTTAGTAAGAAAAATAATCCTTGTGGACCACAACAGAAGATCATTGGATGCATTACTGGATGACAAGTTTTCTCTTTTGGAAGTCACCCAAAATACGCAGTGGTTACACCAAGGATTATGCAGTCAGTCCATGAGCAGGTGAATTGTGTTCTGCTGTCAATGTGGTCATCATGAATAGGAGCTGATTGGGCAGAAGCTAAGAACAATGGTACGACAACGAAAGACATGAGATGAGGCTAGTCTATTACAATCAGTCAATTGCAACTGATTTTTTGTTCTTGTTTTTGTTCATCTGCTCTTAGCATCACAACAGCATAAATATTTCCTTGCCTCCTCTGCCTCCTGTTTATTGATGGATATATTTTTCTTTTAATTGACTGACTGAAATAATTCTACTTACAAAAATTCTTCCTTCTGTGATAATGTTTTCCACAATAAAAATGTTCCCATTATGATCAATGTTATTAAACATGTGCTATTTGCCTAAGTTCTTCCTCTACAATATTTGAGATTTTGTGAGCTTGTCACAGGGTGAAACTGATGTGCATACATCTTTATATGATCCCCAGAACTCAGAAGTTTAAAAAAAAACAAACCCAAAATAAAAGCCATGATTAATGATGAAGAATTTTGTTGATTAAATAAAGCAAGTAACATGGATTATGTTACATTGGAGTATATACAAAGAAGGTTCAAGATACAATATGGTTGTACGTGGTTGTTATGTACCATCTAGTCAGAACTGACTCGCAACTGACCATTCAGCAGGTTTCCAAAGGCAGTAAATCACACAAGAGGAGACTGCCCATCTTTCTCCTGCAGAGCAGCTGGTGGATTAAAAACAGAATGTTTTTGGTTGATCACTATCTACAATACAGGTATTGAGTAATATTTGCAAAATCAGGGTTTTTTTTTTCTGGCAACATAAACTTAAATTTTTATTAATCTTAAAAGAAATAATACTGGAGGGGAAGAGAACTGACAAGCCTGTCTTAAGAAATTAAAATACACACGAATTTCTGCCATGAGGGTAAATTTTATTGAGGAAGATAGAGTGAACATACCACAGTAAATATCAAGATAAGTATAACACAGATACAGGACCTTTGTCCACTGTATCCTGTATCTGAGGACTGACTGCAAAGAAAAGGTCCATGGGATATTCACATATCAGTGATATTCAGTGTAGATTGGTGTGTGTGTATGGGGGGGTCTTTCTTCAGTAATATTCTGGTGGAACAGGATCACAGAGCTATGGGCCATTTCAAACAGAGGGGTTCATATGGATGACACTTCAGTGTTGACACGATGGTGACCAGCTTGTGATTGATCATCACAAGTGAAGTTCAACAAGAAGATCCGGAGCAGGTGGGGCGACTGCAAGTTGTGTGGCAGCAAGTGGTCTGGCAGCAGACTGGGCGACAGGTGGTCTGACAGCTGATGGGGCGGCAACAGCTGGATGGACAGCAGCTGGGACGGCAGGTGGTCTGGCAGCAGACTGGGCGACAGGTGGTCTGACAGCTGATGGGGCGGCAACAGCTGGATGGACAGCAACTGGGACGGCAGGTGGTCTGGCAGCAGACTGGGCGGCAACAGCTGGATGGGCTGCAGCTGGGACGGCAGGTGGTCTGGCAGATGATCGGACGGGAACAGACTGGGCGACAGCAGCTGGATGGACAGCAAGCTGGGCGGCAAGTGGTCTGGCAGCAGACGGGCCGGGAACAGACTGGGCGGCAACAGCTGGATGGGCGGCAGCAGGAAGTCTGACAGCAAGTGGTCTGGCAGACTGGGCGGCTGCAGCTGGACACACAGCAGCTGGGGCGGCAGCAGGTCTCCTGGCCTTGACCACAGGCCTGGTCAGAGCAGACGGAGCCACAACAGGAGTTGACCATGATGTCAGAGAGTGGAGGTTCTGGGTGTGTTCACAGGAGAGTGATTTCTCAAATTTGGGAATCTCTTTGTCCCCTCTTCCCTTTTATACTCTGCTGAGGAAGTGCTGTCACCATGTTAATAGCTATTTCCTTGTTATTGTTTATATTAATAGACAGACAATCATCAAATTAGGCAATGGTGGGTGAATACACAGAAGTTAATGGAATGCAATTTTCCTTTTCTACATTAGATTTGTCTAATCTAGTCTGCCTTGCTAAGTCATCTCTTGTTTTCTTTCTTGTCTGTGTCATCTAATCTCCAGGAGTCTTCAGTTTCCTCACTAGATTGGTTGTCTTTTTGAATGGGCTGACCTTTAGAAACTAACATCCCATGTGTCATGCTTATAGCTTTGTGTCTCACACCGTTCCTCAACTGGGAACAATATTTTTTGTTTTCCAGAAACTCTTTTTAGAGCAATCAACTGAAAGTAACAGGAAAAAATTTGGATTTTTAAAAAATATTTGGAGATTTTATAACACTCAGAAATTTTAATAGCAATAAAGGAAAGGTTTGACATTTTTTGATAGAAGAAAAAACTTAAGGCTACTTGAAAAGTAGAACAGTCTTAACATCAAAAGTTTAAACAGCATCTGTGAACAAATTTATCTATCAATATATCAGAAAAGGAACATATTTCCTTAATGTGTGAATACTTCGTAAAATATAATAAAGAAATATAAAAAACACATGGAAAATTAGTACATGATTTTAACAATTCAATTAAAATATGAAATGTCTTTAAAGCTTATTAAAGACATTAAATATTACACCTTTAATGAATCTGTAATTGTATTTAGTTGAACATTTATTCACTCATCAAACAAACCATAACACCGATTTTTTTTTAATTTATTATTAATTTCAATGAAGAGACTTTGGGTTTCCATTCATTCATTGTTGCATTTTTCTCCCCTCCCAACCCTCCCCCCCCAGTACACTACCCTCTTGGAAAAGTAAAAGAAAAATTCTTTCATTATTTTACAATCCCTACCCCCCAGGCCCACTCCACTATACAGCCTTCGCTCTGGACTCCTGTCATGACAAAGATACCTAATAATTTTCGCTCTTAAACAGTTTTCTCGCTCATCTCTTTCAATACAGTATACATTAGTGAACCCATCCTTCTCAGTCTCCTCCCAATCCCAAGGTCAGTCCTGTTTTACAACAGTAGCACTATGCAGTATTTGCCCTTTTGTGGCTGATATACTTCACTCAGCATAAGGTCCTCCACATCACCCCTTCTGAATAAAATTTCATGAGTTCCTTGTTTTTCAAGTAACACCTATTATGTAACAAATCCAACACAATACTCTGAGGATACAGTAGTGAATAGCTGTCATGTCTACCCTTTGGGATTACAAAGTATTTAATATTTAAAACTTTAAGTTGTGAAGAAACAGACATTCCCATATACAGATGGCAGAGTCTGTATAACTTACAGGGCAATGGGCAGTGTTAATCACACTGGTGGCAGAGTCTGTGGGAAATGGCGCTGCACAAAGACAGCATCTCTCTGGGGCTCTGAATCCACCAGCGGCTACATGGAAGAAAGGTGGACAACCTTCTCCAGTGCAGCTTATGTTGTTGTTATTGATTGCCTTCAAGTCAAGCACAATTCATAGGGACCCCATGAACAAAAGTTCTAAAGCCTTTCTATAACTATCAACTGTTATCAAAGTTCATAGAGTTTCCAGAGGCATGTTGATTAGGAAGTGGATGCCACTCCTGCTTCCAAACCTATCATAGAATGTTATTGGGTGAGTCCCCTGTGATGCATAATGACCCTATGTACAGCAGCTCTGAATCCTTCCCTGTCCTGAGCCAGTCTCATTAAATCTGACTCACCCACTCCCATTTGCCCCAGTTAATGTACCAATCCATCTAATCCAGGGTCTTCCTCTCCTGCACTGTCCATCCACCCTCCCGAGAATGATATCCTTCTCCAAGAACCAATCTCTCCTGGCCATGTGCCCAAAGTAAGTGAGGCAGAGCTTCAAAATCCTAGCCTCCAAAGAGAGACTTGGTTTCACCCTCTCCAAGACAGACTTATTTGTTTTCTTGGCAGTCCATGGTATGTGCAAGACTCTTCTCCACCACCACAGCTCGAAGGCATCTATTCTTCTGTCATCTTTAGTCATTTTCCAACTCTCTGAAGCATAACAAGTAATTGAGAAGACCATGGTTTGGATAAGGCGCACCATTGTATCTAGATATTGTTGCTCTTCAGCACTCTGGAGAGGTCCATGACAGCAGATTTTCTCAGTGTCGTTCATCTTTTGATTTCCTGACTGCTAGTGTTAAGGGTGTTGATTGTGGATCCATGTAAGCTGTAATTGCTAACAACCTCAATCTCTTCTCCATCTATTATGGTGCTGCCTATTAGCCTAGTGGTGAGATTCTTTATCATCTTAATATTAAGCTTCAATCCATACTGAAAACCAGTGTGGCTTATAGTCTCTGAAAACTACTGGAGAGTCAGCTATGAGTTGGTTCTGACTTAACAGCAAAGAGTTTTTTGCGATCAGACTTTAAAATGTTCATGTCCTTTGACGGAACAATTTAATGACTAGAAATGTATTCAACAGATATATATGATACAAGACCAAAAAATGTTCTTTGCAGCATTTTAACAGCCAAAATTTGACTTTTATTATGGTTTTACGACTGCAATGTAAGGGGAAAGAAAAAGGAAAGAAATACTAAGTGTATAAGGGTGATAGGACATCATTTCACCATAAAGGTGAAGGTACTTAACCTTTTTGAAAGATTCTTGCCACTTTTCTATAAATTAAATTACTTCAGTAAGAAGGGGGGAAAGTACACTTCAGCTGCTAAACAGGAGACAACTCAATGTACTGTCTCTGAAAACCCATTGGAAGGTCATCTATGAGTCAGTTCCAATTCAACAGCACACAACAAAACAACACTCAAATACGTTGTATTGTGGGAAAAGGCAAGGAACAAGGACATTGTAATCAGTCAGAAAGGCTTGAACTCACCCCATGGCATTGGTAATGTTTCTTAATTGCTCTGCAATTCCGTTTCTTGTTTGTGAAATTAATATGTGAATGCCAACCTGGATGAGTAACTGAGAAAATAGAAATAATAATAGAGGTAAAGCCCTAGCATCACTTGGTATGTAGCAAGACTCTGCTGCCTACAAGGGATAGAATGTGTACTTAAGTAACTTGGTTCCAAAGGGTTGAAAGCACACTAAACTGTAAGATATTATGAAAAAAAAATATTAGAGGATCAATAAGAAGTCTTACAGGTAGGTGGAAGGATGTGGGGAATATGTGAAAACGAGGTCACACTTGAACTTTCAGAACTGATCTTAAGTTGTTGTTGTTATATACTGTCAAGTGAAGTCTGTTGAACAACAGATCTGAACCCTGTTCTCCATCCTCATCATTTCTGACATATGTGAGCCCACAGGTAGACTCACTCACTATGTCATTCCATCTCATTGAAGGTATCCCCCCTTTCATTGTTCCTCCACCTTTCCAAGTACTATGTCCTTTTCCAAGGGCTAATACTGTTTGTTGTCGTTCTTGTTAGGTGTCATTGAATCAATTATGACTCGTAGCAACCTGTGAACATCATATTTGAATCCTATTGTAGTTGTTGTTGTTGTTATGTGCCATTGGGAGTTGCCTGTGACTCAAAATGATTTTATGCACAATAGCTCTTAGCCCTGCCCTATCCTGAGCCAATCTTCTGCCTCTGATACACCTAATTGCATTAACCCAGTTACCATGTCAATTCATCTCTTCCAGGGTCTCCTCCTGAGCTGTCCCTCCACACTTCCAAGCATGATGTCCTTGTCCAAGAACTAGTCTCTCCTGGCAACATGCCCTACATATATGAGACAGACTTTAAAATCCTTGCCTCCAAGGAGCACCTTGATTTCATCCTCTCCAGGGTAGATCTGTTAGTTCTCTTGGCAGTCCTATCCTGTGCCACATTAAAAATCTCTGATACACTTGAGCCCACTGCCGCAGTCACCGTGTCATTTCACCTCATCAGAGGTCTTCCTCTCTTTCATTGACCTTCCACATTTCCAAGAATTACATCACTTTCCAACCTTTCTTCCACGGTGCACTCTAGTTTTCCTTTCCCGAGACCCATGTGTTCATTCTTTTGGTAGTCCATTGGATATTCAGTACTCTTCTCCAACACCACAACTCAAAGCCATCAATTCTTCTTTTGTCATCCTTATTTACTCTCCAGCTAAGTAATTGAAAAGACCACCATGGCCTGAATAAAGCACACCTTAGTCTTCAAACTAACATCATTGCTCTTCAGTATTTTGAAGAGCTCCCTGACAGCAGACTTTCCCAATACATCTCTTGCTCTCTTGATTGCTCATACCAAGAGTGTTGATTGTGGATCCAGTAAAATTAAACCATTGACAGTTTCAAATCTTTCTCCATCTATCTTGATGTTGCCTTTGGGTTCAGTAATAAGGGTCTTTGTTTTCTTGATGTTGAGATGCAATTTATACTGAAGGCTGTAGTCTTTGGTCCTCTGCAGCAATCAGATTGGGTCCTCTTCTTTCAGCCAGCAATGTCATTGATGAGACTCACTCTGATCCTTATGCCACAGTCTTCTTCTTCTTCTTCTTTACACAGTTTAGCTTTATTAATTCTTGTCTCAGCATATAGATTGAATACATATGGAGAAAGGATACAACCCTGACACACACGCTTCCTGATTTTAAATCATGCAATGTTCCCTTGTTTCATCTAGCCAATATTTTCTTGGTCTAAGTTTAGATTTTGTATGAGCACAATTACGTGTTCTGGGATTCCCTTTCTCCTCAGTGTTACCCATTTTATATCATTTAGATATGTGCAAATGAGGACTGGAAAAAATCAGCCTAGCAGCCCAAGCAAGAACTGGTCAAGCAATTCTTCAAGTTTCAGTGTTTTTCATTACCTCTCTTATTAATTCACTTTCA